TCAGAATGGCAAACAAGTGAATTCCAGCCCAGAGAGGAATACAGCTCCACATATCTTTTCAAGTGCCTCTCCTGGCAAGACCTCCATGCGAACGCCACTACGATCCCTTCGACTTTCCCGACTCGCTCTCTTCTTCCCCAATAATATCTGCCTCCAAATCCCCACATCTTTCTCCTCCAAATCCAAAATCCTGTAAATCTTGCAGCACTGGATACTATAGCTACGAAAACTCAGTTTGTCCACAAGCTTCTCCTGGGGAAAAATATCAGGAGGTTGAAGAACCGCAGGCAATTGCCCGGAATTGAAATCGCGGGTAGTGTTTCTTTCTTTCTTTTTGTCAATTCTGTCTTCGAATGAACTTTACCCAGAAAAATTCAAGGGGTGAGTCATGGCCCCACCATACTGCGTATCCCCAACCAATTCGTTCCGCGCCATCTCCCCAACCGCAGTTACTTTGCGGTAACATTGGTACGGTTACCTTTGCACAAAAATGAAAATAAAAAACATAGCTAGGCTTATTTCTAAAGTGCTCCTAATAATTTTTGTCTTTTTTAAAATTATTTACTTATTTGCTACTCCACCTAATTTGTTTCATCCTATAATGAATTAACGTTGTTTTAATATAAGAAATGTAGGGATGAAAAATTTAACACCGACCTAAAAGGAGTAAAATGCTTGGTTATTAAATTGTATTTGTTTAATAGAATTTGAATACATCTCAATTTATACTGCACGCATGATAGCTTATAAAAATTTATATTTTAAAATAAAATATTTTAAATTCAAAAGACGAGTAAATGGAATTTAAAGTCGAAAACAAATTAAATATTAAAATTTAAGAAGTAAATTGTAATTTAAATTATTTTATTATTACTAGAATCTAATTTATGAAATTAAAAAGCGTTAGTAGCGCTCATATAAAATTTATAATTATGTTGATTTTGTTCTACATGTCCTATATATAAAAGCGGTCACAGACACTATAAAATAAAACTGTTCTCCACCTACATGAGTATATAGCAGCGATAATTAACATGTACTCCTTCCTTCGAGAGGGAGGTTTAATCATACATATGCATATTACACTAAAAAATAATAATAATAATAAAAATTTTCCCCCATTTAATTTTAATTTACTTGTTGCAATTTGTTCTTTAGTTTTTTTCATTTATTATTTTAGGTTTACTTTAGATTAGTTATTTAACATTTACAATATATCTATACCCTTTTAGAAGACTCATTTTATTGTCTTACTTTTTACTTATAAGACTACTTTTTTTTTTCATTCTGGAAATTACATACAAATTTATTTTAAAATATTACAAAAAAAAAACATAAATATGACTACATTTAAAAAAAAACCCTAGGCTTCTTCCAAACATTAATATCTGAAATTTTGGTTTAAAAGTTACTTGTACATATATTAGGTTCTTTTTAATTGTCAAGCACATTTGAAAATTCTAGGAAATCTTCAAAATCAATGGTTGATTTTTAAGAACACTTCTAAAATAAATTTCAAACGAAAAAATAATTAAATTATTTTAAATATTATCAAACGACCCCGAATAATTATGAAAGGATAAAGACGATTATAATTTACATTAAATTGTATTTAAAAATAATAATTGATCGTTGAAATGTTCTGACTGGTTAAATGACTGAAATGCCCCCACCGGCTTACAGTCGTTAACTTCCGATGGCCGCCACTTAGAAAGCGACTGGCCCGGAGTCAGATAAGATCCTAACACCATTTCTGTTTTCCACGTCACGTGCCGCTCGTGTTCGGCCATGCCTAATCTCCTGATTTATTTTTGGAATTTGTATTATTGCCTGTTTTCCTCTTTATCCCATTTTTGTCGTTTCCTAAGAATTATTTGGCTTCGAAAATAAAATCATCCATGTCCACTATCCACTAATTGGGCTGTGATCTCAGACGCAGCAGTCCACGGTAGCCCAAATAGGGTTTTTTTTTTTTTTTGTTCTTGTGAAAATTTTAATTGAGATTAATTATTTTAATATATATTTTGTGGCCGTTATTACAGTATGTTGCAGTTTGCACTTTGCTCCAAGCTCAAGTTCTTCGCCATGGATGAAAATCCAGTTAATTCCTCTCCGAAGAAGTAGCTGGTCGGATTCTTGTTCGAGCTCGAAAGCATCGACGAACGAAAGTAGTTGCTCTTCGGTGAGGTGCCCTTTATTTCCTACTTCTTTCTCGTTGAGATGGTACAAGAGATTTTGAATTTGCGGCAAAAACAGACGGAAGCTAAGGAACGATTTGATTTGATTACTTCGCGATTAATTTCTGAATCCGTTGTCTCGACTCTATTTTTGTTAATATGGCGGTTTGTTTTCATTGATCGTGTGTTTTCTTGAGTGTTGTCTTCGTTGTTGTGCAATGTTCTTGAGTGAATTCGCCGATTTCTCAATTCGGTGTCGAATTTCGCAGGATTGGAGAGTAGGATTCGACGTATCGTTTTCGAAGAAATATCAGACTGTGTTTGATATTCGGCGGCATAGATTTCTTCCATGCTATCGATCCAATTTGGTATCAGTTTCAGCAGCAAGGTGTTTGTGATAATGCCTCATCGAGATTTACCTAAGAATCCGAAAGAAAGGGAGAATGTGATTTCTGTAGGAGGAATCATGGCTTGGAATGCGTTTGACAATGTGACTGCCACAACGAAGACGCCCGAAGCTCTAATGGCGGAGATCAATGCTGCAATTTCAAAAATCGAATACGCTCGAACCACCGCTTGCTTGGAATCCGCAACTCCTCCCGCTTCACAGGATGGGGGCTCTGGTGCGAGTTTGATGCCTCAGTATGATGCTCGAATGGCGGATGAAGCGTACAAGGCAGGTTGTGCTGCATTGGCTGTTGGTAAGCTTGATGATGCTCTTCATTCGTTGAATGTTTCACTCTCCAAATGCCCGCCTGAGAAGACCTCTGCTGTTGCTAAGCTTCTGTCTCTCATCACTCTTACGTCTCAGCAACTCCATAGATCTTCCAATTGCTCTGAAATTTCAGAAGATTAAACTCCTTTTTTGCTGTGGAAGGTAAAGATTTCCTGGTTTCAATATGTTCTCCTCCCTCTAGTTGTTCTCAATTTTTCTTCCGAGGATAGAATCTCTCCCATTGTTCTTCAGTCATGTTTGTGTCTGTGAATACCGATTTTTTTTTTTTTCATGGCCCCGTTATGATTTTTAAAGCTTTAATTCACTAACAGTTTTTTAGTCTTAAATAATTGTTGTAGATCATTATATTTTGAGATTGAAATAGGTGACTTATCTAGACCATTTTTTTCGTTTTAAATAATGGTTTGCTTTTTTATCCAGTGATTTTAAATCCTCTGTATAGAATCTATCTATAATGAATTTGGGATCTTCAAATCTTATTTTTACTTGGAAATAATTTTTTCCAGAATTAAAATGGTTGGATTTTAGCTTGAAAGTTTTAAATAGACTTGTCTTCTTAAACTTGTTTTCCAAACATGTAACGTTATTCTCAACATTTTGTTGCCATAAAATTTTCATATTTTGATATCTCAAAATAGGTCCCACAATGGATTTGAACTAATTCTTTCTAATTTTGTTCATAGGTTTCAATGTCACCAAGCTAATCTATTGTAGTTAATTTTTATATATGTAATTACATAAATAGCACAAAATAAATCTATGTTTTCAAATGTGGAAGAAATTTCAAAATTTTACCAAAAGAATAAAAAATAGTACAAGCCAAATCAAATTCAAATGTAAGATATAACACATTAACAAAAGTCGCATTTGAAAATTCTGAAAATTTGTGATTTTTAAAAATATATATTAATTTTGTGTAAAATAGGGAAAATTATCTATTTTTTTATGAGATATTACAAAATGGAAGATTGAAACCACAGACAAAAACACACCTGTCAAAGAAGGAAGAAAAAAAATACCCAAACACATTTTTACGTAAGATTAGTCCGTTTTGCAACTTTATGGTTTCTCTTTCTTATCATATTTCGTTCCAGTTTCTAGAAACGATGTCGTTTATAAACCTCATCTCTAAGATGACGTCACTTTGGATCATTGGTTATCAAACCCTCGTATTGGGATGACCTGTTTTGATCCCAAGTTGCCACGTTGGGCTGTTGGCTAATTTTTTATAACAAATTATTTATTTTTTAATTTTAATATTTCAAAATACTGACACTTTTTATTCAATAATTAATATCTAATTATTTTTAGTATAAAATGTGGACACGGGAAATTAAATCTCAAAGAGATATATGTCAATCTACGAATTATATTAAAATAAAAAATGATTATATATATATATATATATATATATTTTAGGGAGTAAGAGATATGTGCATAAGAAAATAGAGAAATACTATTAATTATCAATTTGGGAGAAATACTGCAATGCGGGGGATTTTCTCAAATTAAAAGAAACTTCAATATAGTGGTCCCATGAATTAGCCACGATATGTCTCTTTCTTACATTTGGATATTATCTACGCTTCTACGATGAAGAATTTAATTGTTTCTGAACCAAACCCATGTGACATTTAATTTTTTCATTAATAAAATTCTTTTTTTCTTTTTATTTTAAAAATAACTAACCTATACAATAAGCATTTTAATAATGCATCTTTTACAAACTCAAACTTCAAATGTTCTAGTGTTATATTTTGTATATGTGCAACAACAATTCACAATTATATCATTTCATCAAAATTTTGTTAAAATTTGTTAATGAAAGGATGATGTATAATTAAGAGCCTATTTGTCTCTTATTTATGTTTGCAATTTTTTAATGAACAAAAATATAGTTGCATTGTCCCAATACCATGAATTAAAAAATGATAAAACTATATTTTTATTTATGTTTTAAACAAATTGGAAATAGGAACGAGAGAAAAAAAACTTGTTAATGTTTAAAACAATGAAAAATAAGAAATCTAAATAATTATCAAATACTTAGATTTCTTAGTAAAATTAGAAACGAGAAAGAAGAAATGAAAATATTACCGAACGAATCATGAATTAATGTTTCATTAACATATTTAGACACTTGAATACTACCTACCACCAATAATCTAATATGCTCGTCATATCAAAATTCGATACCCATTGGTACTTAACAATTTTTTTTTCCTTCAAGTAACACGTTCACATGTCTAAATATATTAATAAAATAATAATTTAATAACATTAACACATTTTTCAACAGATTTCTCCAAGCACAAATTCAATTGCAAATTTTTAATACATTCAAAGTAAAATTAATAATTTTAAAAGATGACTAAAAAAATTATAAAGATTTAGTTTCTTTGTATAAGTTGTTACACATAAATAATAAATAAAAAGCAAACCTTTTTAGCTGCTACAAAATTAACTATCAAAACAACCCAAATATGGTTGGGCGGTGTGTGGTTGCTATAAATGGACGGGTGGCCATTAAAGAGAGGAACAGATACTCATGCCTGTCAAAATATTTTTTAATACAACATACGTGATGAAAATTCTACTTATGAATAATTTAATTGGAGATAGATATTTTTATGTATCTATTTTCTAACTATATTTAAGTGCTTATCAACTATATTTAAGTGCTTATCAATCAATACGGAATCATCCATAAAAATTTAATGATTTTCAAATTTTTAGAATATAGATAGAAAATCGATTTTTTTCTTCCTTCCCTGTCACAATTTAATAGCAGTTAGCAAAAGTATGGATATTGATGGACAAATATTTAATTATTATTTTTCAAAAAATTTTTGCACCTTATATATTTCATCTCTCTTCATTAAAATTTTCATATTCAGATCAGAAGTACCTTCAATAATTCAGTCCAATGAATTAATCTTCTTATCCATCTCTTCAATCTTGGTTCCGAGTTCGACATGGCTGCAGAAGACTCCGACAACCCAGAGCTAGAACTGGAGCTCCTTCCTTACCTTCGCCTCTACAAAAACGGCGTCGTCGAGAGGCTCGTCGGGACACGTGTCACTCCACCGGGGCTCGATCCTCTCACTGGCGTTGACTCCAAAGACATCATTATTGTCCCAGAAACCGGCGTTTCGGCTCGGCTCTACCGGCCGACCGCCGTCGACCCTCACCGGAAACTTCCCTTGGTTGTT